TCCCACATTCAGGGTACTTTTTGGGGATCCCAATAAGAAGTACAGCATCTCGGGGTCTGCATTGGAACTAGGTAGGGTTTAGGGTTTAGCGTTTTAACATGGGCAAGGCAAGTATCCTTCGGCCTGAATTCTACCTCGGCACACAGCTATGCGTAAGGGTTTAGGGTTTAGGGTGTCAATGCGCAGAAACCTGTAAGTAAGCTAAAAGCAAAGCCCAAGACCCTAAACCTCAGTTCGCAAGCCTCGGCCCCTGAACTATTCCTCTTAGTAACCCCTATAGTAGTCCCTATATAAACCCCTATATAACCCCCCATTAAGGAGTTTAGACTATAGCTCATATTGGGTCCCCAAGCCTCCGGAAGCTACAGCTGACCATGATCCTTAAGGCTTAAACTCGATAATCTTTGTTGTAGACCCTTTAGGGGTTTAGGGTTTAGGGCCTTCTCCTTTTAATCAACCCATTGTTGTTGAAGTTTTCCCGCATTTAGCCGACAAGGCCCCAAAACCCTAAACCCTAAAACCTAAAACCCTAAACCCTGAACCCGAAACCCTAATTGCGTAGAGTCCAAGCCAGGCATAAACTCTGCGGCCGACTCCGCGACCCAGGGACGCCTTCGAGGGGTCCGTGGGTTGAAAGCTTTAAGGGTTTAGGGTTTAGGGGTTGGGGGATTGGGGGTTGAGGAGTGGAGGGCTTAGGGTTTCAGGAGTTCATAGTTTTGGGGCTCAATTTTCAAGCTTGGAAGAATAGAGGTCTAGGGGCTTAGGTTTTAGTTAGGACCGCAGGAAGCAGAAGGAGTCTGTGAACTTGTTTGCTCATCACATCGCCTTTATGCCGCCGATCGGATGAAGACCCTTTAGATTGAGAGCTTGGATATCCTGTACTAGACTTCACACCATTTACCCTAAAACCCTGAACCTTACACAGGCCCCTTCATTGTTGTGTCTCTTTGCCCTTGCGTCCAAAGTTAGGAACCAGTACTGCAAGGACCTTGCATGATGTGGCCTGGAAGAAATAGATAGAAGTACATTATCCTATATCTACCTGAGGACCCTAAACCCTAAACCCTTCAGACTTCTACATCGCAGTCCCCAGGACATCGCCCTGTAAGCCCCTGTATGACCCCGGAGTACATCTCATTCCCCATTCGAGTCTGCATGTATAGGTCATGTCTACACTAACCCACCCTAAGCCCCAAACAACAAAAGCTAAGTCTGAAGCCTTAACCCGGATGCTGGGGCAATTGAATCGAGGTTTCTGGCAGATCCAAGCACGGTTTAGGCAACAGTGATCAACACATGTCATGAACCAAATCAGAAATTCCACTGCAGTGAAAAGCTCTTCATGACCCCAACCCGCCCAAATTTGGACCCTGGGGTCCATATTTTGGGTTGGATTACCAAAGTCCTCCTTTTAAGCTAGGTAAGCATAGTCCAAATCACTCGTGACGATATTGGAGGGGGTAGTGATCTCAGGACAGGATTTGGAAGGTTAGGGTTCCAAGAAACAGCTCTTTTACTGGAGTCCCTCCAATTTGAAAGATTGTATATGTGAGCAGGTTGAGGATTACCCCTTTGTGGGTTTAGGGTTTAGGGTTTAGGCTTATATCTCTCTTGTCAACTAAATACCATGCCCACAGTAGATTCCCTACTGCTCCATGGAAGCTCTTCTCCAGCAGCTTCATGCGCAAGACACTTGACTTGGGTGGGAACCAAACCCCGAAACCTTTACACCCTAAACCCTATCCCTAAACTAACAGGATCAGTCTCCACGGTGTTTGAGTTTCGCATCCCGATGTTTGCTGGTTTGCCCTTGAGGAACTTAAACTAAGTTACTAGAATCCTAGAATAATATCCGTATATGGTTTGAGGTTACAAAATCCCTAAAACCTAGACCCTTCATTATATTCACTTAGTCTAGGTTCCTTAACAGCAACCCAGTTTAGGGTTGAGGGGGCTGTCTGTAGTAACATCTGGGCGTTCTGTACAGCGACCCGACCTTCGGGTTGCGAAACTGCCAGTTATGATGAGCACCCACCCTTGTGAGGTCTTCGGAACCTAAACCCTAAACCCGAAAGCCTGAAAGAGGGGGCGGGGATCCTGAGAAAGGTCTTGGACGTGCATTGGGATTGCAACAGGAAAGCCATAAGAGTCGCTTAAGGTTAGGGGCCAGAGTCCCTTAAGATTCCGAAATGACACTGAGCTTCACAAAGCGGTTTGGGGCCCCTAAAACCTAAACGCCCCTAAACAGGCCCCAAAACCCGTCCACCCTAAACCCTAAACCCGAAACCCTAAGCCCCGAACCCTGTAAACTCTGAACCCATAAACCCTATCAGAAATATAATTTAGAGTTTAGGACGAAGGCAAGTCTCCTGGACAGCGTGACGATTGCCACCCTGCCACAAGATCGCGCCTCCCTCCTTGGCGGGTGTTGTTGGGTTTAGGGCTAGGGTTTGTGGTTGTGGTTTAGGGTTTAAAGTTTAGGTTGGGTGTACCAGGACCCGACGTTACATCAATGGCCCGAGACACAGAAACAAGTGAAAAAGTGCCCGAACAGACCATTACTCTACATACTTCTGGGTCAGATAGACTTCATGAGGAGGAGCTGTAAGGATTCGTATGCAGATGATTTTGGATCATCTCGTCAAAGGCCCCTGGTAGGATTGAAGTTGCCATGTGCTCGAAGGGTTTCTGGTGAAATGGTTGGTTCACTCGCCAGCCTTACATGTCGAGTTTGGACACCAGAGATCTTTCAAAATGGTGGTTTGCATATATGTTTGCATATCCTAAAGTACAGAAGGAACCGGGGTTTGTAAGGTCAGGGTTTGAGGTTTATGGCCTGTAAGCAGCCCAAGGAACTGAGTTCAAATCAGAATCTAAAACAATCCAGAACATGGCAACTTTCCGAGGATGAGGGGGCCCTTCTGAGTGATGCTATGCCCAAATCTGAAAATTACTATGCTTCTTCTGGAACAGGCTTGAAAAAACGAACCCCGCCTACCTGGAAGACTGGAGCATGCTCATTGTAATCCTCAACCATCTAAGCCCTGAACCCTAAGCTTACTCCGTGGTTACCGTATACCCTCATCCTATAGTCCCCCTGAAGTAAATAGAATATGGCATTGGGAGTACTGCAATTATAAAAAGATCCCCATATACCCCATGTTCTATCTACTTAAGGGGAACTATAAATCTTACCCTAAACCCTAAACCCTAAACCCTAAACCCTAAACCCTAAACCCCAAGCCTAAGCTTACTGGGTGGCTAGTCTTCAGAGGAATTTTGCATCCAAGGGAAGCTTGGATCCATATGGTAGCCCCGATGTAATCCCTTCCGTGGGGATGTAGTAGGGATAATGGAAAATGGAATGGAAACTATTATTTAAGGATTAGGGTTTAGGGTTTAGGATTTAAGGTTTATGGGAAGCATGAATTCCCATTTTGTTGGTCATTTGGTGCGGATCGTCTTTAGGGCCCCATGGAATGTTCGATGTTATATACTTCAGGGAAGCTGGCGGTTCAGGGTACGGCGTATAAGGGTTTCCAGTATCACATTTGCGGTGGCCATTTTCCAGCTCAGGCTGCCAGACACCCAAAAGAAATGAAAGTAAGTACCCAGACAGAGCGTGGCCCACACGAGGCAATAAAAAACACAAAAACCATGGGCCATCCAGGATATGATTCGGAAAGCCCACGCGCCAAAGCTTTTCCGGTGCAACTTGCCGGAACTAAGCACCAACACATTGAGAAGTGAGCACATTTCCTGCCTCAAACATCAGGTGCCCCCCGATTTGTTTCCCACGCAGCTCCAAATGCAGAGCTCAACGCAAAACCACCCAGCATTGACGTAGCTGAAGCCCCTTCGAACCCAAACATGTGAAAATCGGGAAGCCTCTACCATCTGTGTTCTTATCGCACCCAGAAACAAAGCAGCATTTGTCACACACACGCTGCAGAAACTTTGGAATGTTGAGCCGAGATGGTCTGAACCAAAACGGCTTGTGCCAGATGGCTTGAGCCCAAATGGTATTAGGGTATAAAGGGTTAGGACACCTGATTCGCATTTCCGAAAAAAAAGAATTGATGTATTGGTCAGGCTCACTCTCTGCTGCTGTATCCTGAAAGTGTCGGGTATGCAACCCAACACCAAACATATTTGAAAAAAGGATGCAATTTCAGCAAGCATGTCCATCCATGCGACTCGGATTGTTTTCTTTAAGCTTCCTGGAAATGATGCGCTCCTGAGACGGTTTCTCAAAGATGAATTTGAGGCTTCAATCGCACATGGAGAAGAAAAAGACAATTGCTGCTGCTTGATTTTGGACATGGATGCAACTGACTGATTTGCACAACACAGACTCTGCTAGATCAGGCCCAAAACACTGCACTCACAAGCATGGCTACAAAGATCTGCATCAGGCAGAAGTGGCTTCAGCATGCTGGTTTCACAGGCTTGAAAATCTGGCTTCAATGGAATTGGTCGCATCGGCTTCCAACATAAGTTCATCGGAGCTGTTTGAAACAATGCTGGCACGGCGCAACAAATTACGCATAAAGTCATGCTTGCCCTGGCTGCTGCGCAAAACAAATTTCGGCAAACTGTCAGAACACTTTATTTGTTTTGATCTGTCATCAGCTTGCTGTTTCAATTGGATGTTGTGATCTCACCGCAAAGCTAGCTCTTCACATTCAAACTTCAGAAAACTGGACTGGACTGGACCTAGTCGGACCTAGCAAAGGTTTCAAGGATCAAGCTTCCCATCATTGAAAGCTGCTCATGCTTTGGGATCAACATGACTGCCTGATCATGCTTCACTGCTGGCACTTGAATGTTGGGACACAACGCATGGTCAAATCGCATAAAGCATGTGTGGCGCTTCAAGGATTTTTGACTCCTGCGAGTTCCGGATGGGTGCTTCGGTCCATTGACTTGAGAACCTCCCTATGACTAACATTGGGAGCGAAGATCATCAATCCCTCGCCTGAAGCCTGATCCCAACGGATTCACAGCTCTGTCAGAGCATCCTTTGCGTCCCCTTCAGGACCATCCTTCTTGTTCTGATTGGCAGCTGCTGCAGTAGGTGGATTCACACTACAGGCATGATAGTATGCCTTTGCAAGCAACCCTTGATCAGATGGCACATCTCCAGGCAATGTCTGGAGTTTGCTGAAAAAATCACAGGCACAGGCTGCTCGCACGAGAACAGGCATCTTCAACCCCAACGACATGTCTTTGGTCTGCTCTGCAAATGCCCAACCAGCAGGCACATACAGCACTTCGGTGGCATGGACAACACCTCCCAGGCACTTGCTGCCTGAGGCTTCCACAAAAGCCTTGAGTTTGTCAGCGTTGCAAAACTTCAAGAACTGATTGACCCCTTGCTTGGCTTGGGGGTCTGCAAGCTTTGACTGCGGAGCACCTGGTGAGGAAATGAAATCCAGCACTTTGTCATACGGCGCAAGAACCACATGGCGTAGTCCCTCGGATGCGAAACGCAAACAAGGCAGGAAGAATTTCTCTGTTGCGAAAGTGGCATTGTTGGCAAGGATAGCATAGGAAGTGCTCAGCATGTTCTTATGCAGGGTCTGAATTGCAAGAGACTCCACATCCTTGGGGAGGGAATCCGCCATGCCAGTGTAGAAGCTCATCCCATCTGGCAACATGCCATCCAGCTGCTTGGCAACATGCTTGACAACCGAAAGGTCCAACCCCACCTCAGCCCGGCTGTGTGTTGCACCAGGCTGCTTGAACAACTTCTTTAACTGCCCCATGGCAACCTTCACATCTGAACCAAAGAGCTTGCCCAGCGTCTCATTTTCGAAAGAAATGATAGCTGGCTTTTCCAGGCACATGTTCTTCAAGGCACTCTCCGAAACAGAGGGCAACGCATCAACTAGCTCGGAACCTGCTTCGAAAATGGCATGCGCTGGAGCTTGGGTCGGTTTGGCACCTGGCTTGCTCTTGGCGGCAGCAGCCTTCGTTTTCTCCTTCTTCATCAAAGTGCCAACTTTCTTGATGTCATTGAGCACCGCCTGATTAGGGTTTAGGGTTTGGGGTTTAAGGTTTAGGGTTTAGGGTTTAGGCAAAAAATCGTGAACAAAAGAACGGATCGAAAGGGGTGTATTGATTAGGGCTTGTAAAGTTTGAGTTCAGGGCAATGCTGCAATCCGGCCTGCGCTGACGACAACAAATCAAGCATCGGGGCTTTCATCCTTGCAAACTGTTTCTTATGCTCTGAGATCTCATCCGCAGTGCTGCAGTTCAGAACCTCATCCTTGAATATGGAAAGTTCTGCGAGAAGCTTGAGCTCTTTGAACTGCTTGCAAGGCGGCGAATTGCCTAAGGCAGCAAGTCCAGCAGCTGTTGAACCATGGTCTACAGCAGACAACGCTGCCTCTGCAGCTGCTTGCGCACCCTTTGTAGGGGAAGGATTGGGCTGCGAAAAGTCATCAATGAGGGAGTTGAGTTCCGTAGCATCTGAAGACAAAGCTAGCAAAAACTTCAAGCGCACATTGGCAATTCTTTCCTCGCCTTGATACTGCAACCTCTCCGAAGGGCTCAAGTTGCCAATCTCTTTCAAGGCCGCTTGCAGCTCAGAGACTCTCTGGGAATGGGCTTCGTGAAGCTTCTTCTCCTGGCTGGTCAGAAGCTTCTGCGCGGCATTCACAGCCCTGTCCTTGTCGAACCACTTGACCTTCTTGTTGGTGTCCGGGGCTTCACCATCTGAGCCGGGCTCCTCAGCGTCATCGTCCATCTTCGCATCACCCTCAGCAGTGGCGGCAACTTCGCCATCGCCCATATCATCATCAGGGATGAGGTTGCGGACATCACCAATCTTCACGCTGGCAGAGTCAAAGGCAGTGCCACCGCCTCCCTGCACCATCATCTGGGCAAGATCCTCAGGTCCTGGGATGATGCCTTTCATGGCTGAGGAGGAACCTCCTACCATGTCGTGATTTGTCATGATGCGCTTCATGGATTTGGCAACGGATGCGTCATCGTTCTTGACCTTCTCCGTCCACTCCATTTGCCGCTTTCGCGCGACATCATTGTAGTTGATCACCATGTCTTCCCTGGTGATGGCCAGCCGCAATGGCTTGCGCTCCGGGCCCTTCTTATCATAGATCACCCCAGGCTCACCCACCCTGGCGGCAAGTGCGTTCCATTTCTGCTGAGACTCCTCCTCGGAGTGAGCGCCTCCGTCTACGCTCTGCCAAAAGAGCAAAGCCTGCCGCTCCCACATGAGCTGCTGGTTTTCAGCCAGCCTGGTGCCTGAAGTGGCTTCCACGGATTCCTTGTACTGAATGATTGACCACTTGACTTTGCCAACCTTTCCACCGGTGCACCAGTTCTTGTAAGCAGTACGATAGGAATCCACCATGCTTTTACACTTCGTAGGATCAGCACGGGTCTCAGAAAACCACTGCAAGGCTTGCGCGCCCTGGGCTTTGGCCTGCTTGTNNTTCTAGGTCGACCTTCTGATTCAAAGCGAACTCGGATTCAGGCTTCCTCACCTGGCAGGCATAGCACACCCTGAAGGACTTCGAATTGGCGGACGCTTTGTGTCGAGAAGCTGCCTTTGCCTGCGCTTTGGCCTTGCTCTTTGCGGTTGCAGGTCGAGCCTGAGCTGGAGGATCTGGAGGAGGAGCCACCTCCACATCTTCGTCCACATCGCAATCTGCAGCCAATTGGAACTCGGACATTCCACGGGTGAGCATTCACCAAAGCACACTTGGCTCCAGGAAGCTAACTGCGAAACCCTAGCCTGAACCTGAACTGTTTGACAACAAATCAAAGGCACACCTCCATTCTGCTCCAGCGCCAGCTCATGAGACATACAATGCATCACGGATTTACTCCCATGCCCCTGCTGATGACGATGCTTCTCAACCACAGTTCAACCACATGTTGAACGCTGACAACCACAACTCATGACTGTCTACCTGTCGCACTTGCACAGCACATGTGGCACAGTTCATTGCACGTTTGTTGGATTTTTTCGCGCTCCCAAACATGGCACTCGAGCACACACCCCACGGCTGCCTACACTCGCACAGGCACACACGAAGCTTGCAGCAGTGCAAGGAGAAGCACACTGCCAACAGCTGGCAGCACCATGGAATTCCCGGCAATTTGCTGGACTTGAGTTCGAGACAAGCCATCTAGAAAGTCTGCAGACCAGGGGCAGAAGTTGGAGTATTTGCTTCCGGATGGCAGCAGCACCGGAATGCATTGCACAGCCAAAATCTCCAGCGGGTGCAGTGGCCTTTGAAACTCCATCGACCACAGGAATGAGTTCCTGAGCAAGCACGGGATCATTTCATGAACTCGGGGACGTTCATCCGGATTCTGTGACAAATCCACAAATATGTTTTTCTTGCCCGCAAAACGCGGTGACTCCTGCAAGACCTTTTTGTACTTGGTCAGCTGAAGCCTCAACCAGGGACTGAGCACAAGTGCTGCATGAAAGGGCTGCGCAGATCCCTGCGACCGCTCAGGCACACTTGCTAGACCTCTTGGTCCAGCCATGTCATTTAGGAACGCCTGCACCAAAACGCTGGAAGCTCTCATGAACAAACTTCCCTGCGAAACCATGGGTGCTGCAAGAATTTTCGAAAACTGATCTTGGTCAAAAAGTCTCAAGTCTGAGCACCTGTCTTTCCTCATCAGCACTGTGTATCGCCTGTCACGGCAAGCAGGAATGCCCAGCAAGGGTGGCCCAAACACATGTGTAGCGAAATGGTGGGTCTTCTGGAAGAGGCGGCGCAGAATCTCCGCATCGAAGAGCGGTGTACATTCATTCACCAGGATGGAGGGGCTCACACATTGCATACTGTAAAGCCAAACAATGCATGGTATCGATTCTGAGTCAAGCCAACCCATTTGCTTCCCTGAAGTCGACCAGGGAGTGCATGTGTTGCTGGCTACCTCCACATGGATTCTATTTGAAGTCTCTGCTGGCCAGAGGGGACACATGCAGTCATGCGCAAAACAATAGCTTGTTGCATCCTTGCTAATGGGCGACTGCGAAAGATACTCCACTGCTTCTGCAACAAAGCTACGGCCAAATTGATCAACACACTCCTTGCGCTTCTTCGCTGTGGCCTTGCCATGCTTCTTCATGGCAGCGTTGTAAAGATTCAAATACTTTTTCTGCATGTCAGCTAGAGCTGCCAGAACTTCTGAGCTTATCCTTTCCAAAATATCACCAAACAAGTGGCTGCTTCGAGTCCTGGGCCCATGATTGCGCAACATGCGCTGACACAGCTCATCCTTCTCTGTGGCACCATGAAGAACATAGTTCAACTGGCCGCCTCGCATTTCTATCGCATCCTGCAAGAAAGGCAGAGACATCTCTGCCACTCCCATTCCAGAATATGATGTTGTAAACATGTAGGTTGTCTGTCCCATACAGCGCAAAACATCATTGCTGCCAGAAGTGCCTGAACCCAACACAGAACACGCTGCGCCTGATACTCTGCCAGCCCAAAGCATGACATCCTCCAAAGTGTCAGGCCCATCATCTGTGACATCCACATCGCACGATTTTTTGCGATCTGGGGTGTCTGGTGTGGAGTCCAACCTGCCCAGAACATCGCTGAGACAGCCCTTAAAGGAACAAAGAGCAAAGGAAAGGCCTGCGCTTTCGTCTTGGAGGAGTGGAGCTCAGTCCATCCACATCATTGGCCCAAACTTCGGCATGAGCATCTGACATGACTCCGAATCCCACACACGGGACTTCAAGAACGCTTCAAAAACTCTTGCTAATCAAACTACAATCCTTGCGTGACATGCTGCATGACAAGTGTCATGTGAACTGTGGCAACAGCCCCCGATCATATGAAGAACCTTTGGTAAAATCAGCTACACAAACTTGGTCCATTTTCCATTGATTACCATCATGGTTTGAATGGCTACTGCATCTATTGCGTTTGCAAAAACTCCACACCCTTCTTAATGTCATATTGGCTTCTGCTGCTTGTTCCTATGGTGGCACTGCAAACACTAGCCCAAGCCACATAACAACAAGAATATCACGATCCAGCGCACATGCCCTGCGAACAACACATCATCTCCTTTAGCATTTTCTCCAGGTTCCAGAAAACATCCCCAGATCCCAAATACCAGAATCAGATTTGGCGGCCAAATCTTGGATTTTCTACCAAAACCATGAAATCTGGCCCAATTTTGGGCGAAGTCTTTGATTTTCTATCGAAATTATGAAAGCTGGCACAATTCCAGCTGATCTGCACACATTTGGGCTCAAATCACTGACTGGGAACCAAATCCGGTCAAAAACTCAACAAACATGGTACCTGGAATGCTTACCTGAGATGCTTGGCAGAAGGCCATCGCTAGAATAGGTACAGAAGCCAGAATGTAGCAAAAGCAGGGTCGAGCAATGGTCGAGCAGGTCGAGCGGTCGAGCGGTCGAGCGGGTCGAGCGGTCGAGCGTTGGTCGAGCAGCGGTCGAGCAGGTCGAGCGGGTCGGCCCCCAACCGGGCCCCAAGCACCCAAGGCAGCCCAAGCGCAGGAAAGGGTTGCGAAACGGACCCCACCACCACCCAAGCAGCAGCATTCGCGCAGAAAGCGGAGTCGGCACCCTGATCGAGGAGAAAATAGAGCGAGAATGCGAAGCTGAGGCCCCAAATCGGGAAAAACGTCCTAATTTTGCCGAGGTGGGCAAACATGCTGCCAAATGTGAACCTGGATTTGCTTGCTCTTGCAAGGCCTCCCAGAAATCTCCAAAATTGCAATGTTCAGGGTGCACATGTTGAAATTCTGGCCCGAAACTGTCTTGCTTCTTTCCACAAACAACACATCCCACCACAAGTCCAACTTGCTGACTCTAGGCGACAACACAACATGCGAAAGACTCTGCTGCAAAGGCTTGGCTTTCAGATCAGGGGCAAGAAAGGATTACCCAATAGTTGGATGTTTGGCTGGGGCATGTTATGTAATGGGACACATAAAGGATTTTGACACACATCCTATACAAACATATTAGACATCTACAAACCTTGGGGCCAAAACACATGTACTATAAAGTTGCTCAACTACATTGCGGTCGAGGCTGATTATGCTGCCCTCCAGTATGCCTTGAGATTTGCAAGCCAAAGCCTCATGTCATCATTCTGCACACATGTTTTCAACTCATCTTCAATGCTTCAAGCGTTGAAAGCTATGGCACCATGCTATGACGCGTTGCTGCTACTGCTACTGCTGCTGCCACTACTGGTTTCGGACGCACTGCTGCTGGAGTCTGAACTGGATGACTCGCTCGAAGCAGAACCTGAAGACTGAGGGGCGGAAGCTGCAGGTTTTGCTTCAGCAGGGCCAGGGGGGTCTGAGGATGCAGCAGCTCCTGAACCTGCAGGCTCAATGTCTGTGGCTGCACGCTTGCCTCTAACACGCCTGGTCACTGCAGGCACACTGCCTGCGGAATTAGGTGGATGCTCTTCGGGCCCAGCAGCTTTGTCCAGTTCATCATCAGGTGTTGGAAGGTCTGAAGGTCCTTCATCAATCCGCTGAGCTTCAATCACATCCATAGCAAGCTCGGCAAGCGCAGCACGGGGCAGCACAGACATGCCAACATGATGTCTTTGGCGATTCACAGTCCTAGCCTGCGCGCACCAATGCAAAAGCGCTTTGTAATCCAAGTCCTTCTCAGCTTGAGAATCAGATTTGTGGGCTATGTACTTTTTGCATTGGCTGACACGACTGCGCCTATGAAACGGGCACACAGCTTCCAGCGCACCGTATGGTCTTGAGTCAGGCTTTGCAACAAGCATGCTGATGCGAAAACACCCCCAATAAGTAATGCAACCTGGCTCAACAAGATTTCGGGTTCTTGCAGCACGTTTAGGTGCTGGAACGGCCAGTCTTGGTGCTTCAACAACATTAGCATCTGCAAGCGCAACTGGTGCCTCAGCAAGATGGGACACTGCAGGCGCAGAATCCACAACAGAGCCCCTTTCAGCATCATTGGCGCCGGATGCACGGGCAGGGGCATGTCCAACACGCGGAGGGGGTTCAACAAGCGGTGCCACCTCAGGCGCATCAGGCGCTGGCTTATCATCATCAGTGGACTCCATCAACTCAAGCAATTCCGCGATTTGCTGTTCACGGCTGGTTGGTGTCAAGTCACCATCCACAACTTCTACTTGATCAGCTTCCAAAGGATCATTGTGGACTTCCTCTACTGCTTCAGCATCCAACACGGGAGCAAGCACCCCTGCACCATCGCCCTCGCCATCAACAGCTGCTTGCAACTCGCCCCCTCCATCAACATCTGCTTGCAACATCAAACGCGGCGCTGCCCTAACTTGAATGTTGCGGCCCTGCAATAGCTGCGCATACACTAATGCTGGTTTGGGGCTCCAGTGTGGAATGGACTCGACTCCAATATCAAGTAGTCTCTCTACGTCCAGCAAACACCGCATGTACAAAGGATGTGGAAGACCGGCCGAATAAAAGTTTCTGTCACAACCAGAAGAATACGACAATGCCCTGCGCTTCTGGGGGGCATCAGGCAATGGCTGCCACGTCCATCCTGCCGCTTCTAGGTGCCTCAGGAGCTCATAGCATGTACAATCCTGAAGAGGCATGTCAACGCGGGGCTCACACACAAGCTTGGGCTTGGTCAACTCGGCAACAACTTCCAAAGCTTGAACTGCTGCTGGGGTCAATGCATAGGATTTGGCATCCCTCCCTTCCAGCATCACAACACTGATCAAACCTGCCCCTTCAAGCTCATCCCATGGATGTGGCACCTGCCCATTCTCTAAAGCCACTTCGTAGCGCACATGAGAATCAGGGAATGCACCAGCGCGAACAAGCTCAGTCACCGCTTGACAACAAGACTGACATGTTTGGGGCACAAAATCTTTGATGGAATAAGCAAGCTGCCCCAGCTCGAACTCGGTGCAAGTTTCCTGCAAGATAGTCAAATCACCTGCGGAAAGATCAGAAAGGATTGCTACACAAGTCGCACCCTGGGATGTGGGCTGCATGGAAATGTGCCGCTTGCCATCTCCTAGATCCTGCAAAGCATGCACAGATATGGCAATCTCTCCCTTAGCAAGTCGCCTCCCTGCACCTAGCGGCACAGCAACAGTACGCATGTTACTCGGGGCGACATGAACCACTTGAAAATGCACAACCTCATGGCCTTCAAAACTCAGCATCTGCTGCGCCAAAGCATCTGAAGCAATGTCTGGCGTAAGCTGGGACAACTGACGGCGATGCGAAATCCCTGCCACACGCTCACCCTCAAGCACAGCATCCAAAGGCTTTAATGAAGGGCCACACCCATGTTCGTTAGGGGCAAGGTCTAGGGAATAAACCCGGGATGAAGTTGCAGACGAAACTACTTTAGTGAAATGATCCTGGATGGCGTGGCTGAGCATGTCTGCATATCGATCCTCATGGGTGAGTTTCCTACGTGCAGGTGGCTTTGCTGCCGGCGCTGCTTTGGCGATCTGCTTCTCAGCTAAACGAGCTCTCTTCTTCGTACGCTGCTCATGGTCAACCCTTGCCTGGCCATGCGCCTCATACTTTGACTCCAAGTCACACCTGTACACAATCCTGTTGAGGATGCCTGTCCGTTGGTTCTTGTGCTTGCTATCAAAACACGCTTGCACTAAAGCTGGATGCTCCTGAATGCCGAGCTGGTGGGAAGCCTTTACGGGGTCACGGGTCAAAGCAAAAGCATCTGTCAACTCTTGCAAGAAGTTTGCATCAGCTGCGATGGCGGCCTTGATGTCTGGCACGCGCAGTGTGAGGCTGACAATGCGGCCTGATCGCCAATTCTTCTGCACCCTGCGGGAAATCAAAGAATGTTTGGCCTCAATGCTACGCTCAACAACTGGCATGAAAGACAGCTTTGCTACTTCAGAACACAATGCATCGGTCATGTGATCTCCAGAGGCAAAGGCTTCAACCATGCAACGCAAGGGTCCATCTGGGTGCAAGAACCGTAGTGTCACTGGGTGATGAACCAAATCAGGATCTGCCACATCAAGAAAACTGACGGTCTCTAGTATGTCACGAGCAGATGCTCTTGCTAGCTCCTCATGAGGATGGGCAAGTGCTGCTAAACGCCATGGGCACTTAGTCCAGAAATCAAATTTCACTTGCAAACCCAACTGTATATAAAGTCGTCCTGCCTCAAAATCACTTAGCACGCACCTCTCACTCTCTGAGTCAAGGCCATGTTGGCGGATGCTTTCAAGCAAGGATCTCTTGCGCAGCTGGACAATTTCGTCAAAGGTGGTCTGCAGACATCCTGCTGCCAACTCCGGAGCACGCTTGCCCTTCATTGGACAGAACGCATAAGGGCCGCACTGAGCAATCTCTTTTTGAGAATTTCGCGCAAGCTTCCCACGATGCTTCTTCAGCTCCCAATCATGACACAAACAACCCTCGAACCAGGAAGACAAATTCTCCACTACGTTGAACAAAGACATGACCATTGCTAGGTAAACATGGAACATGCCACTGCCCAACGTTGCGCTAAGATCTGCGGCTGCAAACCTTGCGTGACCTTCTTCTGCATCATGATTGTCTGCGGCGCTCTCTCTCTGCTGGTAATTTTGCATGTACTTTTCAGAACTCCAATACTTTTGTAATGCTTCTAGCAAAGGATACAACTTACGCAAGAAACTAATGACAGCACCCCAACGCTTTTCATAAAGACTACCACTGAAGTGCGTGAAGAGCTTCCGCTCATCTGCAGTGTCTGGCACACATGATGACAAGAACCGCTCTCGCCTGTCACGCATGCAAAGCAAACCCTCGAACAAAGCGAGCTGTTGCAGGAAGGGCTCCCAGTGCGAAAGCTTGGAAGACACGTCTTTGCACAAGTTGCTGCAAATGTGCAAGGCTCCAGGTATGATAATTGCGTTTGGCATGAAGCGGATTTCTGCAACACCGGCAACATTGTCAAGATTTCCGTCCCCCTCATCAACGTCCATTTCTAGAAGAGGTTCTGCTAGCCATTCAGGCAACAATTTGGACATGTCTTCAACAAGGAATGATGCAGCCCCCAGCTCAGTCCCCATGTCTGTTGTGAAAGAAACAAATGTCTTCAAAAAATCTTTCAAGGCACTCTGGCTGCCGACTTCCAAAAACAAACTGAAAAGCAAGGCGGCGACCTTACTCTCCAAAGCTGTGAGGCCCAGACCCATGGCTTGAGGAGGTTGGGTGTGAATACAAACCCCCGACATCAAAGATTTCAAGTGGTTTTGCCGCTGCTGGCTAGCATCTGCCGGGCTTTGCACAGTGTCTACGAGAGCCTTCCAAGAGCCCCAAAGAACGGTGCAATCGCTTGCCAAGACTGCCTGGTGCTTGCTAATCAACCAATCGCTTTTTGCAATTGGCGAAGAATCTGCCCACCCATACCTTGCACTGGTTCCAAGCTGTTCAAGGCGACGGCGCCTTACCAACATCAAAGCCATGTCTACAGCCAGCTGCGCATTCCTGAGCAAGGACTTGCTCTGCTTTAAGGCCTGTTGGCCCATGGCAATACTTGTTTGTGCGAAAAAATTGGGGAAGATTGCTTCCATTGCGGTTGGCATTGCTTCCTTCACAGCAACACTGTCTCGCAAGTGCCAGGCAAAAAGAACCATTCCTACCAACTGGCAGTCCGAATAACGCTTGTTATTAGAAAGCCGGGGACCCAATTCAACAATTTCTTTAGCAAAGTGGGGTTTGAAGTACACAAGGAGTTGTCTCAACCATGTGGCGTGAGAGTTTAGCAATAGCTCCTGCCCGCTTGCTTCTTCATCGTCTTCACACGCTGCAACAATTGCCGACCTCCAGCGCCGAAGATCGTTCAAAAAACCCTCTAAATACGACAAATCCAAAGGCTCAATGGTTCCCAGAACCTCGTGTTGGCCAGATACTTCCTGCAAGTTAGGGGGGATTTTAAATTGAGACAACATCGCACTTTGTGAGAAAGGAGATTGAAACCATTTCCATCTGCTCATCCAAAGCAAGTCTGCCCAGCATCCTTTCATCACCAGGTCTGCCACAGGCTGCGGCAGCATGCAAGCAGCAACGGTATCAAGCTCTTGCTGACAAGTGAGTCCAAATTTGCCCAGCACATCACAAAGTCTGGCCCTTCTTGGTGGCTCTGCAAAAGCATCATGGATTTTCGTTTCTGTCCCAACACAGTCGCCCAACGCGGCGAAACTCACTCCTGACGGCTGAAATATACCATCGGACCCATTCACCTCAACCTCTCGCGCTCGTTTGTCTAGCTTGTGAAAAACGGATCTTGCTTCTTCCAGCTTGAAAGAATATTTGGCTTGCACAATGAAACTGTCAACTGGATTGTTGTAGTACTCGTGCAACGCGAATGCTTCCCTTGACCATGCTGTGAGAGACCCCCTCCATGGTCGCACTGATGAGATGTCCACATCAGCAAGACCCACGAGACTGTACTTTTGCGATTGCAGCACAGTAACATACTTCCAGGAAAGACTCACATTCTCAACTTGTGCAAGTAGCCTCAACCATGACGCTTGTTCTGGCAACCTAAGGTGATGCGCGTGCCCATCTATAGGCATTCGTTGCAGTGGGTGCGCCACACTGCATATCCACATCAAAACCATTGCAACGACACACATTGCAAATTCTTCAAACAGTATTATCTGACCTACGGAGCATGACCATCTGCTGGGATGAGGTAAGGTGTACGGAGCATGGTGTCTTGTCAACAGGTTTTGCCAATGGAATCAACTGGCATGGTGCTTTGTCAGATAACTCGTTGGAAGGAAGCTGCCCAAGCATGTTGCTACTTGACATCCACACTTGCAAGCTGCAAGCCCAGAGTTTCATCATTCCACAAACGCAAAAGTCCTGCGAAATTGCAGCAAAACCAATCATTCACATGCTGCGTTTGAAAATGAATTGAAATCAAAAGACTGCTTTCGACTCAGCTGCCATGGACTTGCGGACATATCATCAAGCTGGTTGTACAAGAAGGACCAAGCACAGGACCACCAAAACTGAAATCTGTTTCATTCAGCAAACACAACGGGCTTGAAGTTGTTTCTTCCGCTTGTTGGCTTTGGGCTTCGAAAATCATGTTTCGGGTTTAAGGTTTAGAATCTAAGGCTTATGGTTGGGTTTTAGGGTTTTCCCTTTCTCTCCCTTACTCTCTTTCTTCTTCTTCTATCTGTCTTTTTTTTCCCATGTGTTTGAGCCAATTTTTTTTTACGCACGCCTGAGCCACAAAAAATGTCACCACTACTGCACCACCCACGCCTATACGCAGGGGACACAAGGCCACCCGCTTCTGCACGCACGTCCAGCAGCATGGATTCGATCAGCAATGTGCTGCCCAGAACAGGAAATCGATGAATGAGTAAAAACTACAACTGCTAAAAGAAAAAA